TAAATATTCTGTATAATTCTCGGGTTTGCAATTCAAAAATAAAACCAAAAGGGTTCAAGAAAAGTTCTCCATAAATTGTCTAATATCTTGCAACTCCATTTACAGTATGGTTCTAGAGATTTTTATGATTTTTCTAGAAAGAGATGACCCTTGTTTCTCCGCACATAAATTTGAGGAGAAAATTTCTGATATTAGAGAGCTTTTTCATAGGACAGACAAAAGTATAAGAAAATGCATTTCAAGTTAAACTAGATAAATTCCAGTTTAAAACCAGAAAACATCCTTTTAATAATTAAATTAACAATTGCACTATCTTATTTAGGAAATTATTTTTTTAATGGAGTCCATCTCACATAAAGCCTTTAACGTGAATCTGAGGGGTTGTTTTGTTGGGTTTGATTTTTGGTATTTTTTCACTTTAGCTTCCCCAGATGTTATAAATGCAGTGAAATTCTGACAATTCTGTTATTTGGATCATTCTAGGTGATAACATTAAAAACGGAGGAGATTATTTCCTATCCCCAGTGTGAAACTGAACTTTCACAGGAAACCTCGGCAACATTAGAATAGGGAGGACAGGGTCCTGTCTCCCTCACCTTTGTGCATATGCAGACTGGATCAGGAGATTCTAACAAAGAACAAGCAGGGTCCTTTTCTTCTCACTGCAGATAGCACTGATCTTTGCACAGGATTTTAACTGTCAAAAGCCCAGATATTATCACATCAGAGGAAAGACATTTGCAGGAGGCACTCCTGAAAAGTCTCCCATGCCCAAAGGGTTTCCCACGGCCCCTGTCAAGATGCCCTGGCAGAGCACTTATGAGAGACAGTGCACTAGATGAGGACAGGCTGGACATCAGCTCTTGCAAAGCTCAAGGACCACTCAGGAGTCCTCAGATCCCAGAGCCTGCTCCAGACGGAGGAGGAGCCTGGCTGGATCTCCGTGACCCAGTTATGGACCACGTACTTCTAAGAATAACTTCCACATCAAGCCAGGAGAATTTTCTTCTCCCATCCCCATAAACATATCCTTTACCCTCATTACGTTTTTATTAAGACATCCCTCAGCATAAGTGCCAAATAAACCTTTCAGATACTGGAATTCCTTCAGCATGCACACAGCATGTGTGTGTTTTCCTATCTCAGACAATGCAGAGCAGACACAAAGAGGATAGGATGGATGCCCAAAGAAGCGGAGACCAGGGAAAAACCAGCAGAATAGCCGAGAGAAGCATGGGGACAAAAGCTCCAACCTTTATAACCGTGGGCTGTTCACTGAGACAAAAATACTGCAGCGAAACCAGCGAGGTCAAATATCATTTCTCCTCATCTGATAACGATGACTGAGGAAGTTTGAATTCATAAAAGGCACACACACATCACACACCCTGGAAAGACAATCCTACCAGCCTTTGTTCAAAGCAGGAATCCCTGTATGAATAAATCACATTTTCAAGGGAGGCAGAAATAGGGCTTGTAACAAAATTTTTCAGCCGCCCCTTAGCTCGAGCAGCACTAGTGGGCATAGCTATAATCACAGCAAACCTACATAATGGGTATGAACTAGCTTAGCCCTTTCCCTGCAAGCAGAGAAGCTGCCACATCAGTAACTCCGTTGCTAGGGCAACTGCTTACTTTCCATATCAACTGCAAACTCGTTGCCATGGAGACACATATACAAGAAAAATTCCTCTCTATAGCCAAGGACCAGATGGTAGGGAAGTGATGGACTAACGGGCTCTACTAAGTGGGACACAGACGACAGGACATTTAGATCTGTACGTTCACAATAGGATTAATCTGAACAAGTGAATTCACAGGTCTGGCAGTAGAAACAAAGCCAGGGAACTCCACATCTACTCCCCATCATGTGCTAACTTCATACTCTGGCCAACTATTATTAAACTGCTGAGCTCAATGCAAAGAGGTTTGTACAATCAAGGGCTCAGCATTTTCCCTTCTTCAGCCCAGCTCTCTGCCTCGATCCAGATCAGCCTCATTGCAGTTCCATGAACAGCCAGGCTTTTGGTTTGCCAGGTAAGCCTGATGGCACTGCAGCTGATGTGGAATAGCAGCAATGTAAAAACAAATCCTCTCTTCCACATTCCACACCAGACCTAAAAGCACCAGGACAGGGCAAGTAAAAAAAAAAGTGATTAATCCTGTCCTTTTTTTTCCCCCTCTCCATTACAATGATCTCACATCAGGAAATTCAAGCATTCACATGCAGGCAGAAAAAGCTGCAGATGACTAGATTCATATTTAGCCCCATGAATATAAACTAGTGAAACTCAAGACTGAGAAAACTACTATGCAGAGGGAGTTCAAAAAAGAATTAAGTGTTCAGCAGAACTTTTTTTAGAAAAATGATTACTGAAAGGCTACATAAACAAACACTGGAAAGCACAACTATGAGAGGAAAAGCTTCTAGCTTTCCACAATGTGTCAACGCACATCAACCAGCAAATGCCTGCAATTCCCAGCACTAACTCCTTTTCCCCATACTGTATATGTTTCAGAGCCCATCTTGTTAGCATTTCATAACATGCCATTTCCTAAATATTGCTTTTTTCCATGTAAAACCAGTAAAACAGGCAGACCCCAACCCTGCAATTTGCAAAAGCTGTCTGCAAGAAGTAGCATAAAATGATTCCTTACAGATGAAAGCCCCCCTTTCCCCTGCCCCAAGCCCCATACCAAAAGCAAAAAACCCTTTAGATGGACACCTTCCTTCTAAACAGCAGAGATATTTGCTGCAAGGTACCAAACCAAGCCCAAGTGTGTGCACACACACATGAAGGTATTTTCAAAGCCATCAGTTGACATTTACTGCTTTCCAAGTCCGCAATTAGCTGTCAAGCACCTGATTCAGCAACTCTGACCCAGGGCCAGTTCTGCACTCAAGACTCTGTCTGCCACATCCCTTGGCCAGGACACCAAGAAAAACCCAGCAGGAGACTTGAATGATCTGCTGTGGTGCATTTTACATTTGAAATTCCCTTTTCATTCACCTTAAAGCTGGCTACCTACAGTTATTAGCATCTTCAGTAAGTAGAAGAACTTCTTTCTCAAAATCTGTGATTTTCCTGGAATCATTAAACTCCACCTTGTGATTCACACAGGCAAGGCCTCCCACCACACCTTGCTGTCTGGCCATGTAAGCATGGCTGTAATGAGGAATTTGAGAGGCAGGTGACCAGCCATGCATTGTGCTGCACCACGTCCCCACAGAGCAGCAGTGCAGCGTGGTATTGTTCAGATGAGCTCAGTGGATGGCCGGATATTTGACATGAATAGATAAGTTATTTGTCAAATAGATATTTGACATGAAGACAAGTTCCTCATAGGAAGGAAGCTGAAATCTAAATAGTCAACTTGTAAACAGAGGAAGAGGGTCAGAACAAAACACAAATGGCTGAGTTAAACACATGCCTTGCCAGTTACATTATTTTGGTGTTTTTTTTAAATGCATTGTATGAAGATTTCTTACAGTCTGGAACAGGGCTGTAAAAGTCTGTTGTGGCATTGTTATTATAGTCTCACTTCCCAACCAGAATTTAAGACTTTGGCTTACACATAAAAAGATCCAGTTCAGGAACAGATTTTTTTAATCTCACACACGAGCTTTCACAGCAGTTAATTGATAAAAAATACAAATATACAGTGTGTGATCAGTAATATGGGGACAGTGGATTCTAGGTAACTTTTTAAAAAGAAAGAAAAAAAAGATAGACATGTCAATCCTTTAAAAATGAAAGCTCTGTAGAAAAGAAAGTTAACTCATCTAAAATGAAAAGTTGCTAGTTTGGGATAGTGTATGACTCTTCCTCTAGAGTTACTTGAGCTTCTATTCCAGACCTTTTCAAGTTAAATTGCACACAAAACAGGGAGAACAGCACCACCAAGAGAAGTCGAGCTTCAGGGTAACAAATTACAAGACAATCACAGAATTTAACTCACTGAAATACAAAAGCTGAGTGCATCTATTGTTTCTACCAGGGTGAAGTGTTCACTTTCTGATCTTCAGCCAATTTTAGAGACAGACCATGAGTTATGTGATTTTACCTGCTATTTATTTCTGTAACCTGTGAGAAGGCCTCTGAAATTAATCTGCAAGCCAGTATTTTTATCAGTATACTCATACTTTGCCAAAGATTCATCCAGTCCACTGCTTCTTGAGAAGGTTCCCTTTGGAAACTGATTCCTGCTCCCAGGCAGACTGACAGAGTAGAAGGCTATGCAAGGGACTGCCCACATTGCTCTGCTCACTTTCCCATTCCCTTGCACACAGCCTCTTCCTGCAGATGCTGCTGGGGAATCAGCAGTGAAGCCAGGAGACAACAACCGAGATCCAAAAGCAAAGATGTGCTCCCAGGGCTTCTGCTCTGCACCAGCTGCAGAAGTTATATGAGCCCAAAGAGCACGAGGAATTTTGGTGAATGGCAACCTTCACCTCTGATGCCAGACCTGCCTCTGCTCTTTGAAGAGTTTCTCTAAAACTCACCTGAAATGGAACAAAGCTGCATCACCATTACCCTCCTTGTATAAAACAAAGAAATGTTTTTTTGGATTACAACACAGACCAGGGCAATAGCAATGGACTCTTACATAAGGCATACCCTTTCACTATACATTTGTATAAGCCAAGAACAGCAAGCAGCCTATTTATAACATGATTACATTCATCTAGTATAGCTGGAAACCATTACCACAGCATGATAACTAAAAACAATATTTAACCACTATGCATGAAGACACCAGCTGGGGGGAAAAACACACACACACACACACACTCTGAACACTTTCTTACAGATGTCTAGACAATGAATTTAATAAAATCAGAATGAGCAATGCGAAAGAAATGCTGGCCCTCTGAACCTTATCAACTACATTACCAGGCACAGGGTTGCACATTCTATACTCCGTTGTTAAGGACATATTCTGGGATTAGCAGGTGAATATTTTCAGAGCCAGAGAGATTCCCATAGTTCCAAACTCACCTGACTTCGGTCTTTGTCCACTTTCTTAAAACACTTATTCAAGGACAGATTATGTCGCACAGAATTTTTCCATCCAGTGGGTGCATTTGCAAAATACGGAAAGTGTTCCAAAATCCAGTTGTATATATCCTTTACAGGCAGTCTTTTGGTTGGCGAATCCTCAATGGCCATAAATATGAGGCAGCTAAAGGAATAAGGAGGTTTGCAGTTGGGGTTCTGCTTGGCATCGTAGGGCATGTCAGAATGGGCAGGAGACGGCGGCGTGTCATCACCGATGTCCTGGACAGGGCTAACGCTCCTTAACACCGAGTCCCCAAAGCTTTTCAGCAAGTTCTTGCTCTCATGTAACCAGTTCAAATTAGTTAGTTCTTCATCTTCCATGGCCCCTTTATCTAATCTGATGGCAGGCAAAGAGAAATCTAGGTCCTCGTCATCATGAAGCGCCTTTGATAAATCACTGTCTTGATAACGCTGGCTCAATCCACTGGGAACACTAATTCCTGAGCCCTCTGGCTTCTTACTGGGAGGCATGACTGGACCCATTTAGACAGCAGCTCCTGGGAGAGTGAATCCAAAGAAAAGGGAGAAAGAGAAAAGTTAGCTCATAAAAAGTTCCTGTGTAACAATTTGACAGCTTTTCCCTAACTGGTCACTTGGCCTTTTGCCATCTGTATTAAATGTGACAGTTTCACATAACACTCATCCACAACTGTGGAATAAAATTATCTAAAGTCAGTACAGGGAAGAATTTTCAGTTGATGGAATGAGATGATAATCCAGATACACCTCACTTCTGCATGCACATGAAGCCCTACAGAGGAAATTCCAAACCATGTCTCTTTAAAGAGGAAGCGGTGTTTTCAAACCACTGAATATCCCAATTGTATCACTTTAATAAGGATGTGAATTAAAAAATAGTAAGAGTGACTTATGGCCAGTTGCTTCAGATTAATTTCAGCTGTTTCACATTTGAGGACAATACAACAGCACCATGATTAAAATCACGCTGGCTACAGGCACAGGCAGACAAACATCCATGCTGACTTGGCTGCACCAAAACTCAGAAATGAGAGTGTAACTTAAAAACCAGCAAGGTCAGGAGAAAGTAAGAGGGAAAGCAACACCCGGTATTTTTGGGCCCAGGGCCAAAAAATGGGGAAGCAAGTGCCAGAGCAATAGAGCACTTTAAGAATGTATGTAAACAGAGTAGATTTTAACGTAAGCTGAACTTATTTCAAACGCAATAGAAAAAAACAAGAGTCAGAAAGACCGCTGTGATGCTCAACAGTGGCCTGTGAGAGGTGGGGTCAGCTGCTGAGGGTGTTGCACCAGCAGGCCCTGGGGGGACACCTGTGACACCAATACTTGGAATGTCCCGAGCACTTCCGATGCAAAGCGAAGCTGGGCCCTTGTCCAATTCGAGAGAAGCAGACAAGCCCAACAATTCTACTTCAGAAGCAGGAGACAGGCTCCCTTAGCTTCTACAAACAGCCAAACTGCCAGGAATTAGCTCTTGGAGATATGAACAGAAGTGGAACAAAACCTGGATGGAGTTAAAAACAGTATTTAAATGGACAAAACGTTCTGCACAAACACTGAACAAGAACTAAATGATTCCCTGTACATAAAACATAACCCCAGCAGTTACCTGAAGTCATGCAGTCAATACCGTAAGTGAAAGCCAAAAAAAGCTACAGGTAAAAACAGAATGAACTAGCTGTCTGCAGGGACAAACAGAGCAACGCAGCCATTATGGGAAAGAGAAATAATGGACTTTAATTTAGCTGTCATAAATGGGCAAAACCAAAAACTTTTAAGTTCTTTGTGTCTTTCTATAATGAAGTCACACCAAAGCAGATATTTACTAAAAATGAAACACACAGAACTTTTCTGCAGGGAAGCACATCAATACACTCAACATCTTCAGTGAAAATGTGCAGATTTACATGAGTAAGTATGTGGAAAAGGAAAAAATACCGATGCAGATGTAAACACCAGGAGGCCAAACTTGCGTCGGCCCCACTTCCTAGTTTTCTAAACTGCATCCAGCGCAACCAGAGGTAAACAAGGGAATCGCCAGCGTCCAGGGGCACGGGCATTGCCTACCTAAGCCGCACGCTTAACTTTGACTCCAAATGGAAGTTCCGTCCCATGAGCTTCTAAACAGGAAAATTATATGATGGCTGACAGTAAAGTAATTTAATTGCACTGTTGCTATGACAACACGCTGCTCTCTTTCTGTTTAATTTCCTTATTTGCCAGTATCCTCCCAAAGGGCCGTATCACTTCATGATTTTTTTCCCCTGTCTCTCTCTCTCTCCCCGCTCCAGGCAGCGGGGGTGACCGGGCGGCCGCGGCCCCGCGGAGCCCCCTCGGGCCGGCACGGAGAGCCGGCAGGGAAGTCTGGCAGCGCCCGGCCCAAGAGCGACTGCCGCCGCGGGCGGGGTGCCCGGGGCAGCCCCCGCGACGGCGGGGCCCGACTGGGGCCACAACAGGGGGGGTACGGGGGGGGCCTGCCAGCGAGGCCCGTGGCAGCTGCAGCGGCGCCCCACCGGCAGACAAAAGAGCGGCGGTCACGGCGAGCCCCCGTTTCAGGCGGACGAACGCGTTTAACCCGCGGCGGCTCCGGCGGACGCGCCCCGCACGCGCGCCCGCCGCGGCCGGAGGGGGGCGCACCGGGGCGGGCCCCCCGCCCGCGCTCCCACCGCGCCCGCCGCGAGGGGGGGCGGCCGCCCATTGGCCGCGGCCGCAGCCAATCAATGGCGTTGCCAGGCGACCGGGGCTGCTCGGGCCGGGCGGCGCGCGCCGCGCACCCCGCCAATGCCGGCCAGGTGTCACCGGCCCGCGCGGCCCCGCGCGCCCCGCCGCACGTGCGCGCGCGTGCCCCGAGGTCCCGGCCCGGGCGCCGCCGGGACCCCCGGCGGGACGAGCTCGAGCCGGGCGCGGCCCCGCGGCGCGGGCACGGCCGGGCTCGGCGGGGTCACGGCGGCGCGCACGCCGGGCCGCGCACCAACTCCCGACCAAGTTGTGGCGCGGGGCCGGGCCGAGCCGGGTGGGACTGCACCGCGCCGCTGCCCGCGGCCGGCCCGCGCCGCCCCGCGCAACCCCGGCCAACAACAACAACAACAACAGCAGCAGCAACTTACCTGGCGGGGGGCGGCGGTTTCACCGCGGTCCCTTCATGGCAGTGGCACAAAGTTTCATCTGACGGAGCCGGGCATGGCGCGCCCCCGCCTCAGCCCGAGCCCCGGGGGTGCCGCGGGGGTCCCGGCGCACGGGGCTCCGCCGCTTGCATGGGGCCCGACTGCCCCACGCCCGCCCCGCGCTCCCGACGGGCAGCGGTCCGCCTCGGTGCGAGCCCGAGAGCGAGAAATTGTTTCCACTGCAAACAAAAAAGGCGACACATGACCACGGAGGGAGGGGAGAGAGGGAAAACGTGGGCTGGGCCAGCCGCGACGGGAGAAGCCGCGGAAGGGAGGGCCGCCGGCGGTGGGGGAGGGCGGCGGTTCCTGCCGGCCGGCGGCGGGGACCCGGCCGTGCCCCCCGCAGGCCGCTCGCCCACCCCGGCCCCCGCCCGGCGTCCGGGTCGTGCCGGGCCGGCGGCGCTGGCCGGGGGCGGGCGGGTGTCCGAGGTCGGGCGGGAGGCGCTCGGAAGTCCCGGTGCGCCGAGAACCGGCAGCCGCCGCGGCGCTCCCACTTGTGCGAGTCTCCTTTCCCCCGCCCGGCCAGGCCGACCCCGGCTGAACCGCGGTGTACACCGGAGGCACCGACGAGCCCCAGGAGCCCACGGCTTAGCATAGCGGAGCCCTGCTTCTGCCTCTCCCGCCAGAGGAGCGGAGGAGGCATCTTTGAACACCCTCCCAGTGGGCAGGTAATTCCTGCCGAACACGGGCGAAGCTGCCGGCCCGGCGGCGCACACGAGCCCGACCGGAGCCAGGCACCTGCCCCGCTGTGCGAGCCGGAGCCGGGCCCTGCGGGGTGCGCGGGCAGCGACAGGCGCGGATCCCGCCCGGCGGCTCTTCTTGCTGGCTCCGGGCATCGGGAAACTACGGCCACTGCCGTGCTGCGCGGTGCACAGTACAGAACCGTGCTGCAGAAATCTGCAGTTACTGCCGACGGAAGGGGGGGGATATTTCCTGAAGGAAATCTGCTTTAAAAGAAGGCTTGACTCGATTAGGAAATATGGTGCATTTTCTCCCCTGCTGTCATACCCTGACATAACTAGTATTAACTTGAGTAAAAAAACCCTTGCCATCAGTTGAATTAATTGAAGGGAACTAACTTGATTTTAAAATAAAGAAGTTGTCCAGTCTAGACAGCACTAGCTGAACGTACAGTCTACTATACATTACATGCCAGATCTCAAGTAGCTTCAGTGATTTGCAGCACAAAATTAAAGTATGGCTGTCTACCAGCAAAACAAGTACATGGAACTGTTTCGTAGCCGGTCCACAAAAATCAAACATTTTCTACTCTGGGTAAACAACGCTTGAAGATTTAGCATACTATGAAATAAATTCTCCTTTCACTATAGAAAGTGCCTGCTGCAGAAATGTATACACAATATAAACTTAAGTCAGAAATACAGGTATCCTTCCCAGTGCAGTCCCCTCTGGACACAGAAATTGTAACTAAGCTAGGAAGGAAAACATTTTAGCTGTTTTATTTGGAAAACTTGGAACAGCTGCCTCAAGACCTTTAGGGAATTCTGCATTATTTCCCAATGGATGGGTTACCTCCTTTAATCTATTTAACACTCACCAAATTCCCAGTTTTAGATAAGAGTGGCAAGCACCTCATTCTCAAAGTGCAGGGATAAGAAGCATTTCATTGATTCTCTGGAACTAGAAATTCCTGTCATAACTAGTTAAGACTTCTTTTGCCGATAGCTTTCCCTCCCCTACCCAGTGAACTGCTATTTCACATTCTTGCATATTTTCAAGAAGACACACCAGCAGCTGAATTGCAGAATGGGAAGAATACCTATCAGGCAGCAGAGTATCATCATTACCCACTGGCAGTCCTGCCCTGTGACTCCACCAGCCTCACACTCCAACAGCCAGCAAGGCCATTAGTTTACACCATTCTTATCTCATGGCCGTTTGGTTTCAAACCCAAACTAAATTATCAAGTTATAACTCCACCCACCTGAACTTACTCCAAACGCTTCAGACATTTTTCTGAGTGAATCAACATGCCTCTTTATTGGCAAGCAAGGAGATTTATTGCATTTATTATCACTTGCAAAAGTCAAGTGTCTTGAAAGACTACCAAGAAGAATTCAGCTAATGAGAAGTATTTCTGAAGTGAGAAGGGGGAAGCCTCATGAGATGCAGGGTAGTATGAAAAGAAAATTATACCCTGAATACATTATGTATGCATCCTATTCAGCTCAGTTCTGTTAAGAATTAGTGGCCAAATTCCCCATGAATATTGGTGGAATATGATCAGTTTCAGTTTTCTGTTTTTTCCATGGCAGGTAGGAATTTCCCCAGAGTGCACTCTAGAGATTGCACTGAAGGGCCCCTGTGAGACATTTGCTGTGTGGACAGCAGAGCCGGCATGATCAAGCACAGGGGCCAGCAGCAGGTGGCAGAGGAGGTTGGAGAGCAGGGGCAGGCTGCCCGCTGGGTGGGAGGGCTGCCAGACGCTGCTCCCCCCGCTGAGGTGTCCCGTGAGAGGCAGCAGTGCAGGGCAGCCTCTCGCTGGCTCCCACTCACCCCTGAGCTCAACTGCAAGGGCAGCTGGTGATTGCACAGCGCTAGAATACCAGCAACAATGTAAACACTACTATCTTGCCTCTTAGGATGACTGTTCCCCAACTTCTGACTCTTCGCTGGAGTACCTAATACAACTAATTTAAGAAAGGAGCACACAGTCTCATGAGGCTCCAATGAAAGAACATTAACTGCTGGCTTGGAGACCACAGCAGCGGCAGAACAACTAATGCCTGGCCATCAAGTAACTAAATACTCACTGTAATCTCAGGCAAGCCCCCAAATTTATTAGGGTGTTGATTTCCCCATTTCTGAGACAGCAATAATACTAATTCATTTAGCATAAGATTTGCAACACTGACAGATGAAACTGTTTGTACATCAAGACCAAAGTACTTGCCGTCCTGAAGGCTGATTAGAAGTTCCAACAGTGCAGAGCTGCACTTTAGCCTTGTGGGCTAATACACAACAGTCTAATCTTTCCACTCAGATTTCAGAATACCAACTGCAGATGTTGCAGTATCTTATTTAATGAGGATTTCCAGCCATCTCTCTATACTCCTTTATCTCTTATCCTCCTCTAGATTGGAATCCCTGAAAATTTCCCACAAGCCATAGAGCACACAAGCACAGCAAGGGTCATGGGCTCATGGGCTCATCTTCCCCCCTCAATCTCCGTCTGCTGGGAACATCTCTCTTTGCTAGTATTATGACCATGTGTCATGGTTTAACCCCAGATAGAAACTAAATACCACACAGTCGCTTGCTCCCCCTGCCACACACACAGTGAGGAGAGGAATCAGAATTTAAAAAAAAACCAAACAAAAAACCACAAACCCTTAACTCAGGGGTTAAGATAGGAATAGTTTCATAATTCAAAAAAAAAAAAAAAAAGATGATGATGATAGTAATAGTAAGAGACAGAAAGAGGAATAACACCCAAGAAAAACAAATAATGCACAATACAATTGCTCACCACCTGCTGACAGATGCCTGTTCATCCCTAAGAAGTAACTGGCCCCTCCTGATCAATTCCCCCACAGTTTATATCCTGGGCATGATGCTCTGTGGTATGGAAAATTCCTTTGGTCAGTTCAGGTCCCCTGTCCTGGCCATGCTCCCTCCTGGCTTCTTGTGCACTGCTCACTGTCAGAGCACAGGAAACTGAAAAGTCCTTGGCTTAGGGCAAGCACTGCACAGCTACAACTGAAACATCAGTGTGATATCAACTTAATTCTCATACTGAATCCAAAAATACAGCACTACTGTCTCAGCCAAAAGCAGGACACCATGTCACATAACCTTATTAAATACTTCTACTTTCTGCCTTCTGGCCTCACCTGCCACACTTCAACAGTCCTGCGCTATTTATCCTCACCTTTAAGCCCCTCTTCCTAACTTGGTCTCCAATTACCATGTCTTTATTGACTGGTGTCCTTGTCAATGTTTATTCTCTCTACAGAGTCAGATTTCTTCCCTGAAGTCTGCTGCAAGTTTGCCAGCAAAGCTTGCTTATTAGGATTTAGAATTACACAGCTGAAAAAAAACTCCTCCTAATTCTTAAGGGTCCTGATGTACTTTTCAAAGAGTGACGTGGACAGGGCTGCTGACTCTTGTGATCAGACCCTCAGCGTGGGACACAGCTCAGGCCCTGGCACCTGTACACTGACCATCTCATTTTGTGTCAGTTCTTCCTCCATGCAGAATGACTGGTGTGTCCCCATCAGTCTTGATATTTCTAATCTTCTGTTTTCTCTGAGGCACTGGATTTAATCTTGTACAGAGCACAAGCACTTTGGACACCTTCAGGAACTTAGAAAAACGAAATCATTAATACAGTGTTTATTCATTTCCGCTTTCACAACTCCTGTTCTCAGCATTCTTCTCCTGCAGTATCAACTACTTCTTTATTTTTAACCACAACAAACCAGCCTGGTTTTGTTTTCTGCACTATGCCTGCTTTTGGGGCAGAGAAACAGCAGTGTCTGAATTCCTGGCACAGCTCCAAAACAGCCAGAGTCTCTGCCCTGTACAGAGGTAACACACCTAATGGGCTGACAAACAGTGCCCTGCTGCCCTGAAAGAGAGCAACTCTGGCTTCACAGCTGCTCTGAGTGCAGTTGTACCCTGCTTGCCCATCCCATGGCTTTTGCAAGCATGCCCTCCCATTTCTTCACCCACCAAGCACTAAGCTATAAGCTGCACATGCAGGGAAGGCCCAGCTTACCAATAGATTTATCTTTTGCTCATTCAATCGAGAACATGGAATCAGATTTACAAAGCATTTTCCCAACCTTACATTTAATTAGTCTTCAAGTTCTCATTTTCCCCAGCAGACAAAACCCAACAGAAACAGAACTGAATCTGTGAGAAAAGGAGCACCAATACAAAGCTTTGTCAGAAGTCTGAGAAAACAAAACTATCTACGGTATATCTGTTTCACAGGCTAAAATAAAATTAATTTTTTCCAATAAAATCCACCGTTTTTATAAAGTAGCTCCTTTATAAATTAATGTATGCACATTTATGATGTTATTGTAGTAACACTTGCTTGCAGTTTCTAGGAAAATGAGTATACTTAGTGCTAAAATTATATGCAGCTGAAGCTACCAGCAATTGTGTTTCTGTGCATGAGTATGGTGGGAGGACAGCATCATGCATGCTCATTTGTCCTACATATATTTGTTCAAATGGGTCCATATGAGAGATGCTTTCACAGTGTAATTAGCCAACATACAAGGACCCAAAGCAC